TTCATCGTTCCCACCAGGCAATGCGATATCGTAGGAAGTGACGTTCTGAATTTCGCCACGAATGACAAGGGCTTGTGTTCGGTCGACAATCAAGCCGGTCGACTTCGTTCCCAAGACCATGCTTACGCGGTTGCCGTCGGTACCACGCAGTTGGGAACGATCGGTGCTGAAGCCCGTTACCGTCGAAGCTTCGACGAGAAACGTTCCGGAGGCTTCGTTGTTAATCGCCGTACGAATCGCCGCGGCGAGGTCAAACGTCGTGCTTCCCAAACCACTGATGTCGATCGCAATGTTACCAGCGGTAACGGTACCATCAGAGGTCAGCTCGAACGTACGAAGATTTCCGCGACCATCGTCGATGGTGAACGTCGTGTGGTTAACGTCCGCGACGCTGTCGTTGTTGACGTCGACATCGGCGCCACGAGTCACGCGGAATTCGTGATTCCCACCGAACAGATTCGCATTGGTGTAATCTTCGAAGCCACCTTCGTTCTGCAACTGACCGGAGTAGTTCGATAGGTCCGTTGCCGTATCGAAGCTCGAGTTTTGAACGTCCGGCAGCGTCGTCAGATCGAGAATCTGCGAAGCCTTGCTGGCGATACCACGAACACCGATTTGTAGACGGAAGACGGTGGCGTAGTTTGCGTTGGAATCGGCTGCGTTGATCAGGTCTTCAATCGGACCGTCAAATCGCAGAACGGCCAAATCGAGCTCGGCATCGTAGACCACTTCCACAGGATAGAACGCCTGCGAATCGTTACCCAAACCAAGATCGCTGTTGTCTGGGCTACCGTCGCTGCTTTCCGCCTTCTGGAACGTCAGCTGGTAGTAGTCGGGATTCGAGGCCAGTGCCGGATCGAGATCGTCATCGTTGAAGTAAACATGGATCGTATCGCGAGCGATTTCGAGCGAACCATCGGTGTCGCGAGTTACCGGCTGCGGAACCACCGACATCACCTGTGGAGCCAGGTTCAACTCGAAGTTACGTGTGAAGGCGGTCGCCGATTCGCCTTCCATGTCCCTCAAGTCGCTGGTGATCTGAATGCGGTAAATATCGTCCGGCAGAGCTTCGCCGAATCGCACGACCACTTGGTTAGGCTGATCGCCGATACCAATGAAGCCCTCGAAGTTCGCCCCCTTACCGGTGATCTGGACGTCGTCGACGGTTCCCAGCTTTCCGTCCAAACCGGCACGCGTGATCACGATCCCATCGCTGAGGGTTGCTGGATTGAGCAGATCCAACTGGTCGGTGACTTCAGCGAAGTTGAACGTCAGCGAGCGTGGCGAGATGCCGCGAACGTCGTTCTCTTGCAGAAGTTCGCCACTGTTCGGCTGAATCCCAACAAGCTGAGGGACGATGCCGGTAGTAAGCATTTCCCGTTTTTCCAGCGGCTCGTGCTGCATGGAACGCTGTTTCGTTTGGCGAAGAAGACGGTTCTTCTTATTGAGATCACGGCGCTGGGCTCGGGTAAGCTTACTCGCATGACGAATGGTCATTTGGCGAACCTTTTATCTTCGTTAAAGCTGGGCTCGAGTAGTGAATTGCGGACAGCAACTTCCTGTCGCGGATCGGGAGACAAGACCTGAGGATCACAAAAACAAGGTAGGCAAGTTCCGATGGGGCAAAATGCTCGACATTTAGTCGATCCAAGTCGGATTATAATTACCCAGATTAACACAGCAAATTCTTACGGGGGGTAAAGCTCCATTTAACCCATTTAACTCGTGATGATTGCCCCATCGCGTCTGACTCGTCGTGCAGCATCTCAAAAGGGGCAGCTCGAATTTCCGTTATCTTGTTGCTATATCAACACTTAGGAATCCAAAATCCGTGTGATCTCTAGCCACTTGGGTAGCTAGAAAACAGGGGTTGTCGACGTTTTGACGCCCTGACTTGCCTGCTAGTTCCCGCATTTCCCCTAGAATCTTGCCAATCCGATTAAATCTCGAATAGGTAAAATGCCGACCCGGCGCAATCGGCCTTCGTCAAGGCTTCCTGGTGCCTTTCGCGCAATCCATGAAAAAAGCCTCCCCGAGAGAGGGAGGCTTTT